CCCCCCCCCACACGCGCTCCAAGATCTTCGGGCTATCGACGCAATCCACAGCCTACCAGTCCGAAGTGCATGAGCGCCTACACTTGCCCTTTCCGCTCCTCTCCGACGCCTCCCTCGCCTTCGCAACAGCGCTGGACTTGCCCACCTTTTCATTCGAGGGCGAGACGCTGCTCAAGCGCATGACGCTGCTGTGCAGAGATGGGCAGATCACGCGCGTCGATTATCCCATCTTTCCACCCGACCAGGCCGCTCAAAGGGCTCTCAAAATATTGATACCGGATCACATGCTCGGTGACGCTCATGCTCATGCTCATGCCGCACCCGCACAGCCCGCAATATGATCACGATCCTCTTGAGTTCGTTCGGTTCAAAATCGCACATAAACAGACTGTCGCCGCAAGCGTTTGGCGAGCAGGCACGCACTCACGATTGCAGAACGAACTCACGTCCATCATCCAGCTGGCTCGGATGTGTGAAGTGTAAGAATGAAGATTGATTGGAGAGGACTGCGCAAAGACCGAAAGAGGTGCTGCTACCTACGCGAACGAGTTCTGCGTGGGACAACGAACATTTCGAGCCGTCGAGTCAAAGATTCGGAAGTGTGAAGAGAAGTTGGTCTGGCCACAAGTGCAGGGTATGCAAGAGAGCTCCCGTTCGGAGCTTACACGAGCAGCTCAGGTCCGAGTGACGGAGAAGGCGTGTAGAAGGGTCATTTGGTTTGGAAAAGCGCAGATTCTTCAAGAAACTAGTGCGCGAACGTCATGCTGATTGGCCAGACGACGGCGCGTTGAGGGTGGCTGCGTGCCGTCACTGCTTGTCAGCGATGGGAACGTCCTTGCCGGACACCTTCTTGCTGTAGAGTACAAAGGCCACGAGAGAGCAAGAGTGTCAGCGTGCATACGAGGCGATGACGAAGCATGGGACATCACAGAAGGTAAGGGGCAACCTTTCTTGATTGTGGCCGGCCGCAGCGCGACAATCAGGTGCGTGGCAGCCTCGCGCATGCGTCGAGGTGCGACCTGCACTCGTACGTCCATTTCCGGCACCATCGACGTGTTCCCACTACTACCATCCCTTCCACACCAACTCACAAGATCTTGCGGAAACCGTCGGAAATCTTCTCGGTGGTGCTAGCGCTCTGCTTGTGACCGCTCTTGGTGAGCACAGCATCGATACCCTTGTCCAGAGCGTCTTGCTGAGGAGCGCCTCCCTCGGCGGGAGCAGGTGCGTTTGCGGGTGGTTGTTGCTAGATGCACAGGAATGGAAAGCAAGGGCCGATGTGTGAGTGTCACGATTCGCTTGCATCCAAACATCGTGAATGCCCATCCATGCGATACGGCTTTGCACGCGTGCAAGCTTACATCCCACTCAATCTTGGCGCTCCCGTGGATACTCACGTCAGCCATCTTTGTTGTGATGTAGTGGGTGCTTATTTGGGTTGAATAACAACGATGGAAGTGTGATGATGTGGTGATGAAGCAGAAAGCATTCACGATTGCAAGCATAGAGTTGCGTCACGAGCATCTCGACCAAATCAAACCAAACGCTCGCAAGTCGCAAGCGTCGCGCGCTATCTCACACCACAGATTTCGTGATCTTGGGAGTCATCAAGGCGGCATGCAGCATATGCTGCATGCAATGCAACATGCGCTGCGCTGCGCTGATGCACCTGCCGCTGCGCACGAGCTCACATTGTGATTCAAGATTTATATCGAAAGTCCGCTTGCGCACCGTGCGTGCATGCGCCCGTGCGTTCCCAAATCCGAGCCATGCATAGCAGCAACTTCCAAGCTCCGCGCCGCGCTTTGCCGCATGCGCGCGTCCAAGACGCAAGGGGCAAAAGCGCACGCGCGGTCAGCAGGCTTCTATACTGTATATGCGCACGCACCGCGCACACCCACGCGCACGCGCGCGCTTCACAAATTCGCCTCTTGCGTCTGCTCATGCTGCAGCGCGCTTCTTTGCGCAGAATCACAATCGTCGACAATTAATGTCCCGGCCTCAACCGACGAGGCGGGCAGTCGCGAGTAAGGGCTGAGTGGAAGATCCGCGGCCCGCAACAGCTTCTGATGACATGCTACGAGTAGTCAGTCTAGTACGCATCGAGCCGCATCACCATGCATTCCCAAACCACTTATTCCTTGCGCTGGCTCGGCTGAATGCTGGACGCTGACCCACGCCTGACTGACTGCACTCTTGATTCGGACGTTCTGCAGATGCCAGACCTCGAGGAAAGCCCCCTCCCTCCCTTCACCTCGATTCGCACAAGCTGTCAGTCAGAGTCCGGCGAATGATTGTGATCGCGGTGATTTAGATGTGGTGGTGCACCTGCGCGCGGGCTCGACCCGTATGCATGACATGACATGCACGCTTGCCAAGCTCGTCGTAATTTTTTTTGCGAGGGAGAGCAAACGAACGAGAAAAGAAGTCTTCTTCTGTGTGTGTTGTTGTACGTCTGTGTAACTTCATGGAGCATCCATCGTCTGTACAGCAGCAGCAGCTTTATGCACTTCCACGTTCGATCGAAGCAGGACGCACACTCAAGACTGCGAATTTACATGGATTGATCAGGCCACGCACCAGAGTCAAAGCGCATAGGGTATGTATGGGCATATATGTGCTGTAAGGTGCTTCTTGCTGACTTGACCCACAGCGTGCGGGTCGTGCGTACGGTGAGCAATAAAGTAGGCCTTTGAGCGCACGTACAGCGTGAGTGGTGAGTCAGAGCGATCACACGTGCACCGCACCCGTGCGCGATCCCAACATCTTGCACCGCTGTACCGCACACCGTTGTGAGGCGAGCGTGTATGATGCTCTCCTCCTCTTCTCGGTCAGGACGATCCACCCATGCAGATGTGAGAGCACTTGTTGAGAAGCGCTGATGAGAACTACGCGTGCACCAGTCGCGAGTGCGACTGCATGCATGGATGGCTTCATGCGTAGATTCACATTCAGATTGTTCTGCCCGACGCACAGGTCAATTCTGCTGTGCTCTGCTCATCCGCTGAGCACCATCGTGAGTGTGGCAGCTACAGTGACCGTTCAGGATCTTCTAGTAGTAGTATGCGGTGGAGGAGAGTTGCAGACGCAGAGTCCAGTGCGGTGGAGCGTCGAGTACGTGCCGTGTTTGCCCTGAGCTACCGTTTCGGGCATCGAAAGGCCTCCTCCACTGGATGGCTTTGCAGCGGACGCTCAAAGATTGGCAAAAGTGTGCGGTCAAGCAGACCGAGCAGGACACTGGCGAGTCAAGAGCAGTCTGATGAGGTAGCGTACGCAGGTCGTCCCCCTGGCACGAGAAGCTTGTATCACTCGGTGATTGCGTACGGTAAGGGTACTGCAAAGCCCCATTTATATGCTCACACTGTCGCACCCCGTTTGCGTGGATGTGGGTGTAGTCCATGGCCGTGGCGTACTCAGTCAGACTTGCACCTCCAAATGAAAGCGCGTCTACCCACGGTGACCGTCGAAGGTCGCTCTTGCGCAAGTCAGAACAGTCACGAAAGTCGCGCGAGTCTGGGTGAGCGACCAACTGAACAGCTGCAAACGCACAGCCGCATTCGTGATTGCACGATTCACGAATCCCGATCCACGTGATTCTTGATTGCGATCATAGATCCCTGCGTACATGATCGTTTGATCAATCTCGTAACTTTTGACTCTGAATGGTTTGACTCATCTAGCCGAGTGGTGCCGAGTCAAGTCGTGAGTGCCGAGTGTAGCTGATCGAGCCGAGTGCCTACGCGCTTGGCTCGCGATGAGCATCGGCCGTACGCCCCACACGCGCACGCCATGCGCGTCACGATGAGCGATGTCCGCGTTATCGCGGAGCGCGGTCTCTCTCTAGATCTGACTGTCACGCCAGCTGCTCGATGGCGCGGACGGATAACGGCAAAGGCTTGCGATCTGTTGAATCTCGGCTAGCTACAGCAGGGCTATAGGTAGGGGCAGTGAGTACACTTGGACTTGACGGTCCATCTGAACTGCGCAAATTAGACGCACTCACGACTCGTGACTGCTGAGCTGTCATGTAAGCGTTGAATACCTGACAGAAGCGTCTTTGAAGGATAAGCATCGTGGCTTTTGCCTATAGATATCAGCTTGTGCATCGATCTATATCTGCGCTTTGCGATTCCCGCCCCTCCTCTCGTGACTTTGAGAGCCTCAAAACCTGATTGCATCTTTGAATCTTCAGCTCGACCTCGCTCTTGCCTCATTCACTCACACTTTCCTTGATCCATATTCCAGCTTCACATTCACATTCTGTTGTGATTTCATCCATCCGCAGCCCTAAACAAGCACGCCGCACGCCGCACGCTCACTCACGACTCACTCACGCACGCACGCCCGCTACAATATAACGGCTCGCTCAAAGTTCGGTGCGACGCGCGCCTCGCCGCCCGCCCCAACAACGAACAGCACACGCTGCTGCAGCTGCCGCCGCGCTGCTGTCTGTTGTCGCACTGCTGGCCCTCGACTTTTTCCTCGCCTGCGTGTGGCGGTGTGTACGTGCAGGTCGGTCCGAACACCTCAAGTCACATTGCAAAAGCAGCAGGAGGAACACCACTCATATCAGCTCCAGCTGAACTGCAGCCACGCATAGAGTTCAACCTGTCAGTCCGGGGCGCATGACTTTCTGCTCTCACGACTTGTCCCTCGTCCCTGAACTTTGCACCTCCCTCCACCTCCTTCCGAAGCTGTGTAGCCCATCACTTCATCTTGCTGCTTGACAAGGAGAGAAACGGGCGGTGGAAAGCCGGAAAGAGAAAGGCCACATTCAGCAAGGGGTGGCAGCGGGATCAGAGAGGGCAACGACGAGAAGCGTTGCAGGGAAGCGCGCGGAGTCCTGCTCTACATCCTCATTGGGCCCTCTCACACGGCAAGTGCGGGGTAGACCACTCGGCAGCCAGAACGCTCGATCCACCTGCATACGCACACAAGCATGGCTGACAATTCTCAGGATGCCGAAGCGCTGCGCTCTGCGCCCATGAAGATCGCGGTGATGACCTCTGGAGGGGATAGCGCGGGGATGAATGCGGCGGTTCGGGCAGTAGCCAAGATGGCCATCTATCGTGGATGCGAAGCTTGGGTGATAAGGGAAGGTTGGGAAGGTCTAGTGAGGGGCAACGACGATGCGTCGAGCAATGCTGCCACTCCTAATGGATCGCCAGACACATCGAAGCGCACAATGGACGCATTCAGAGACGCCCATAATCCTCATGCTGCTCGTCAGGAAGCTTCCTCTTCTGCTACCGCCAAGTCGCCATCTGGAGGAGCCAATGATGCGTCGGCTACCGCTGCTACTGCTGCTGGTAATTCCTTGCCCCCCGAATCATCCTCCGTCAAGAGCGGCTTTGTGTCCACCTTTGGCCAGGGTGAGCTGCTCAGGGAGGGAGTGGGAGAAGCGGAAGAAATCGGTTTGAAAGGACAGTACATCGTCAGAGTGGGCTGGGATGACGTGAGGGGATGGATGGATCAGGTGCGTGGGCGCTCGAAAAAGCATCGTGTAGCTTGTAGCAAGCAAGCCAAACTCACCAGCTTTGCCGATCTGCACTCGCAGGGCGGTACGCTGATCGGTACGGCTCGTTGCGCAGCATTCAGAGAAAGACCAGGCAGAGAGAGGGCAGCGCGCAACCTCATCTCGTGTGGCATAGACGCGCTGGCTGTATGCGGTGGAGATGGCAGCTTGACGGGCGCTGATCGCTTGCGGGCGGAGTGGCCTGAATTGGTAGAGAGCCTCAAAAGCAGAGGTGAGCTGATCACGACCGTAGCATGATCCTTGCAGACTGCTAATCACCAGGCCACTCCGCTGTGCCACTTCACCAGGCGAGATCAGCGAAGCGCAGGCTCAAAGATATGCGCATCTCAAAATTGTTGGACTGGTCGGCTCCATCGACAATGACATGGCGACGACCGATCTCACCATCGGTGCGTCGACCGCTTTGGCCCGCATCTGCGAAGCGATCGACAGCATCAGCAGTACGGCCGCTTCGCACTCTCGAGCATTTGTAGTGGAGGTGATGGGCCGACACTGCGGATGGTTAGCTCTCATGGCCGGAATCGCTTCGGGAGCCGATTACATTTTGGTTCCGGAACGTCCGCCCATCGGGGATTGGCGGGACAACATGTGCGAAGTGTTGGCTCGTCATAGAGAAGTGGGCAAACGCAAGACCATCGTCGTCGTCGCAGAGGGTGCTATTGATCGAGAGCTGAATGCCATCAGACCCGACGACATCAAGTCTATCCTCTCCGATCGCTTGGGCCTGGACACGAGGGTCACCACGCTTGGACATACGCAGCGAGGAGGTAAGCCTGTGGCTCAAGATCGTGTGCTAGCCACCTTGCAAGGCGTCGAAGCCGTCGACGCTTTGCTGCAGGCCAAGCCCGACACTCCTAGCTACGTCATCGGTATACGCGAGAACAAGATCGAGCGGATCCCACTTATGCACGCCGTCGAGATGACCCAACGTGTGGCAAAGTGTATCGGAGAAAAGGACTTTGATGGCGCAATGGCTCTCAGAGACCCCGAGTTTGAGGAAGGGCTGCACGCCTTTGATCTCATCTCCAAGATAGACGAGAGCTTCTTGGTACCTCAACAGAGCAGGATACGCATGGCGATCATCCAGTGAGTCGTCGCAACGCAAAGTCGCTGACCCCTTGAAAGCTTGCTGAAGACTCTCTGCCTCTCCTCGCTTTCTCCTAGTCTCGGTGCGCCTGCGGGAGGGATGAACGCTGCGACGCGCACTGCAGTGCGATACTGCTTGGCTCATGGCCACGAACCTTTTGTCGTGCACAATGGATTCCCAGGTCTGCTGGAGGACCACATCAACCCTCTGAACTGGCTTCGGGTGGATAATTGGGCTGTAAGAGGAGGCAGCGAATTAGGCACCAATAGGGTTCTGCCCGACATAGACTTTGGAGCGGTGGCTGCAAAGCTGCAGGAACACAAGATCGAGGGCTTGCTGGTCATCGGAGGCTTTGAGGCTTTCCAGGCCGTCAAACAGCTCAATGATCAGCGCGGCAACTACCCCATCTTCAGGGTGAGTCGTCTTGACGACAGAGACGACGTGCATCGCTTTGACTGACTATGCTTGCCCCTTGATTCATGCGCACAGATGCCCATCGCTGCCATTCCTGCGACAATCTCCAACAACGTTCCGATTTCTGATTTTTCTTTGGGCTCCGACACTTCCCTCAACGCCCTTGTAGATGCGTGCGACACGATCAAGCAGTCTGCTTCTGCTTCTCGCAACAGGACCTTTGTGGTGGAGACTCAAGGTGGCAGGTGCGGCTACATTGCCGTCATGGGCGCTCTGGCTGCCGGTGCTGTGCTCGTCTACACGCCCGAAGTGGGCATCGGCCTTCAACAGCTGGGCGCTGACGTTGCCTGGCTCAAGAAACGGTTCGAGTTGGACGTGAGGGGCAAGAGCGAGGGAAGGCTCGTGATCAGGTGAGCTGTGTTGCTCGTCCCTCTTCGGTTCGTCAGCGCCATTGACCTTTTGCACCCGGCGAACACAGGAATGAACGCTCTTCGGACGTGTACACAACAGAAGTCATCACCAAGATTCTCAAAGAGGAAGGCAAAGAACTGTTCGATGCTCGTTCGGCCTCGCTGGGACACACTCTGCAAGGCGGTGTCCCCTCGCCGCTAGATCGAGCACGCGCCACTCGTCTAGCCGTCCGCTGCTGCGAGTTCCTGACCATGAACGCGCTAGCTCTGCGGAAGAGCTCGTCAGCGTGGAATCAGGACACGGCGGCGATCATCACCATTCGAGGAAGCCAGGTCGAGTTCACTAGCTCTGAAGAGATGGCTAAGCAGGCGGATATGAAGAACAGAAGAGGAAAGACGGCTTGGTGGCACGAGCTCAAGAACCTCGCAGAGCTCATGGGCGGCCGCGCTGGCCTTTCCATGGCCAACTTGTGATTGCGGACGATGTCAAATCCTCATGACTACGAGACTTTGAGCGATTCGCGATCTCGACGCGAGCCGATGCTCTCCTCTGACACACGAGTCGCCGCAAAAAAAAAACATTGCTAGTTTGGATGACTTTAGAGTGCGATGTGGAGTTCTTACAAATGTGTAAACAAGTCTATTGTCCTTGCTCTACGTCTCGGTCATTGCTGTGAGCTCCCTTTGCGCTGGTAGTGCGCTCGGCCTTCTCATTATCCGATGATGTCTTTGACCTCTGCGAGGGTATCTTCTCCTCTGCATCCACACCTCGACGCGCTTCTGGAGAGGCCACGTTGGGCTGCACGGCGTGTTTGCTCCTCGCTCTGATCGTGTCACCGTAGCGGTAGAGGATGAAGGGCAGGGGCGCGAGGGCCAGAGCGATGAGAGCGAGCAGTAATCCTGCGAATTGGTAGCGCATCCCTTCGAACATATAAGTGGCGTAGAGGGGAGAAGCGGCTGCCATGCCGTTTCTGAGCAGGCCCTGACCAGCAATGGCGGAGGAAGCGACGGAGGGATAGCAGTCGGCCGTGTAGGAGTAGACGGCCAAAAAGACGGCATAGGTACCGAGAATGATGAGGAAAATGGCGAGTATGGGAGCTATCCAATGCACAAACGCGAACTGCGTCCAGCTGAAAATCATAATGCCGATGCCGAATAGCGGTCCGAAGATCATGGCGCCGTAGAGCCTGTACTCGGGCTTTGCTACTCCTCCGTTGTTGCGAGTGCTGCGCTCGTACATCTTGTCTTGCCAGAGACCCAAGCCAAACCCGGCAAAGCAGGCCAAGATGGCGGCAATGTAGGGCAATCCAGCATTGCCTTCGGACCACTCATGATTGCCGGCAAAGGTGAGGGGAATGACGCTGAGGAAGAGGAATACCGTCATCCAACAGAGCGCAATGTACAGCCCAAAGAAGAGGATGACGCTCTCGGTGAAGAGAAGTTTGATGCTCCTCAGACAGCTGGCTCTAAACATGTCCATGAGCGTATCGCCTTCCAGTTCTGCACGCGCTCTGAACCTCTCGTCTCCAGTCTCTTTTCGTAGCCTCTTGGCCCGGGATCGAAGAATGGCATCGCCCCTCGACTCTTTCAAGAAGCAGAGCTCAAACAAAAGCACTACGCCGGTGAGGATCAGGTGCACATACTGAATCCAGCGCCAGCCCAGTCGTTCGTCGATGTACCCGCTGTAAGCCGGTGCGCCGACTGTGGAAACGATGGCGCAAAAGCTGAAGAGCGACATGGGCACCGAAATCTCCTTTGTGCTCCACACTGTCCCGCGTCGCAACGAGCAAAAGTCGTCAGCGGTGCAGCTTGTATTGCGAAGTGGCGCTGCTCGTCTACAAGGCAGTGCAACCAACTCACCATCGCTCAAGGAGCCTCCAACCAGGATCGTGCCGATAGAGCCGAAAGCGCCTTGGAGCAGCCTCCCGACAATCTGCGTGGCCAGATTCTGACCAAAGGCCAACATGAACGTGACGGCGAAGAAAGCAGCAAAGGCAGAGACGTAGATGATTCTTCGGCCTGACAATTCGCAAAACGGTGCAATAAACAGCGGCATGATCGCGCAAGCGCCTGCAGAAAGATGGGATCAGGGGGTTCACGTTCGCCAAACAGTCGTCAATCAGGCGGCCTGTAAATAGCTTGTGGCGAGTCCGACGAAGAGAAAAACGCACCATTGAAAGTGAACATTCCCACCTGGCCAGCCACATTAGCCACCCCAAACTCGTCCGTCATCTTGCCGATGCCCACCGAATAGGCCGAGGTCGACAAGCCGATGCACATGGTCATCGAGTTGAGCAGGATGGTGAGGATCCACTTCTGGGTCAAAGACCACTGCTGAGGATCTTCCTTGTCATTTTCTCCAAATTGCACCAATATCAACTTGTCGCCATCTCCATCGAGCGCCTTTGCTTTGGCTTTGGACGTCTTGCCCGCAGTGCCATCCTTTGAGATCGACGAGTTGGCAAGCCCGCCATCCTGCGCCTCTTCGCCATCGCCCTCGTGGATGGAATTGGTCGCCGTCACATCCTCCGTGCGTAAAAGGATGGATCCGGCAGGTGTAGTATCGGCAGCGGTGGTCGTTCCGCTCTGCAGTCCTTCTGACTGCTTCGATCCAGATGGACGAGTCGCTTGGGGAAAGAGTCCCAGCGGGAGCTCCGTGGACTTTAAGGAAGCCATGGTGTGAGCGCAAGCAGTAGTACCAAGGGCAGATGTCGGCAGTGCCTGAGTACGACTGTCGTCAGGGCATACGGTGCTGATACTGACTCAGTTCGTGGTCGGATAGCAAAGTCAAAAGCGGTTCGTGGTAGACACTTGGGGGGCTCCAAAGGGATTTGCCTACATTTGTAGCGTTGGTGGAAGAGGGCGGCGAGGCCAGACTTGACCTTCCACACACAAGCAGAGCATGGTACGTCACTTTGCTCCCTCAAGCATCTCCACCATGTTTCATCTTCCGGTACTTTGGTGCGCCAGAGCCGTGAGGCCCAAGGCTGTACGTGAGAGCTCTAAAACCCTCCTTCACAGACCGACATGTTGCCAGAGGGGGCCTTGGCACTGCCGCTGCTGCTGCTTATTAGATATCTCATTTGCTTTGACGATTGATACGATCCGAGCCTTGCATCCCACACCATACGACTCTTTGCTGAGGCGAGTCGCGAGATGTACCATGCGAAGCCTGGACCGTCAGGATGCAAGATGATATGATCAACATCAGGAAGAAGGTCGCGGACAAACCGCGCGTGGCCATGATGCAGATGCGGTCATATCCGGTTGCGGCGAGTCTGCTGGTCTCGCGTGCATCAAAATCACCGAGCGAAGAAGGTGCCGCCAAGTTTCGCCGAATGGACGCCGAGCGAGCTCAGGGGAGCCAGGAGTGCGTCCCAGTCAAATCTCTCTCACATCCGCCACCTTGGGAGTCCCTGCTGGAAGAGCCCCGTTCAGCTCACCCAACCCTCGACGAATCGTGTCAGACATCTTTTCCATTCATTCACAACGCACCAGCGGAATGGTCTTGCAACCACTCTGACTCTCAGTATGGCTTTCCACCGGCATCACGGACTAGCGAGATGGAGCAAAAAGCCACAACAGATGCAAGTCGCCGCGATTCGATTACGCGGCCGCCTAGCTGCCACTTGCATGCATGCACGATCTGAACACGTGTCCGCTTCAGGCCGATCAAAGACCGAAAGCTTGCCGCTCCTGCTGGCCATGCAATGGCAGCGCATGCTGGAACGCGCTTCGATCAAAGCATGGTACGTTATGACGTAGCTGCTGAACACAGCCTTTGAAGGTGAATCACACTCAAGACTAGACTCATCAGACTCGTCACTAACGACCGTAAGAGTCAGATCCAGCGTGCGTTTGACTCCGCGTCATGAGTCGAATGACAATCAGCTTTGGCTGGCGCCTCGCGGCTTGGAGACGCGAAGACTGCGACTGGCCCTTTTCTTCTTGTTCCTTTACTCACACCCCAGACTTGTTCCGATGATGAAAGCTGCCAGACACTTGACAACGTCGGACGGTCTCCGCGCAGGTCAAGCTCCGCGAGTGGATCGACCAGCACGCGAGCGACCGGCACACAATGTGAGACTCTGAGCCTTCGAATGAGAGTCACTGAGCACAATAAGCGTGTGACTGTACTCTTGCAAAATAAATTTCGGAAGCTTATCAATTCTCAAAAGCCCGTTCCTGGCAATTTGAGGTCCTGCTGCACTTGCTGCAGGATGCCCTCGAGCGACTCATCCTCCACATGCAAAAGATTATTGAGCACCAGGAACTGGATCAGGACTGCATTTGGGACGGTGTTACGGGAGGAGAAAGAGAAAGAGGTGTGCATCGAAACTATGAGGAGAGAATGACCAAGCGCAAGGGTTAGAGAGCACTCACTCGGCGCAGTGTTGGCTTTCCACGCTCCAGCCCTCATGGTGCGCAGACAATCGTGAATGCTCATCAACTCGAAAGACTCTGCTTCTCCATCCTCTGGCGTCGGTACGGCTTCTTTAGGAAGCTCGAGCGCGTAAGTGAACCTACAAACAATGTGCGTCAGTAAGCTCAGCGAGAGCAATCGAGAAGCAGTAGCCGCGGGGTGGCTCACTCCACCTCTGGTTGTATCCAACCACCTTCTTCGTGCTCCGTCTCGGTTTGATAAAAGTAGCTCGTGAAGATGACCTGTTGCAGCCTAGGTCTGACCAGCTCTTCCGGCCAACCTGCCTCTTCGGTGCATTCTCTGATCATAGAGATTTCAACGTCCTCTCCCGCTGTGATACCTCCGGCGACCTTGGAGCATCCAAGCGAGCGTACATGAGGGGCAGAGATCGATGCAGCGATGAAAGTAGCGCGACGCCGAGGGTCAGAAGTTCAGTGCATTGATGCGGACTGTCAGCGTCCAGCACACCGTCAGAAATATCACGTCGGCCCGCCCAGTATCGTCTCACACTGTTGTCTAAGAAGCCAGGCCAAGTACTCTTCGTTTTGGACCTTCTAGGCACCCAAATCTGCACTTGACCATCCTCTTCGTCCTGCACGTAGGCAGTCATGTGCACACCAAAGCTGCTCGTAGGCAATTGAGGGGTGGACGTTGAGCACAGTGTTGCCTCGCGCTGACGTCGAAAGATGTGCAAGTCTGATAGAGTATTGCGGTACAGGGACAGGGCGAGCGAGACTCACGTGGCCACTCCAAAAAGCGCACAAGCGCTTCTTTCCAGCGCAAAGAAAGGCTGCGACGTGGGGGGCGCGGACACGTCCAGGGATCGATCAGCGGGCCACTTGCCGCTCCTGTGAAGATCCGCAAAGAGGACAGAGGAGATGCCGTCCGCTGAGTTTGTACTAGCATAGACATCGTAGAGCTGTGCAGCAAGGAGGTAAGAGAAAGTAAAGATGCACCAATCAGTCGAGAGTCTCACAGCTCGCTCGAATTGCGAGGCTTGGCCGAGGTGGTACGCACCTCGTCGCGCCATCCTAAAGACATCGCAGATTGGCGTGAGTACAGGGCACGGGTCAGAAAGCAAGTTATTCGCCCCGCAAATCTTCCCGATGCACGGACTTTTGGTTCTTGTCGAACTCGCAGCGTACTGACCGTCGAGCGGATCGGGAAAGGTTTTTTCCTGCCTCCAAAGCTGAACGAGCGCATTGATCGCTGGCGTCCTGGACTGATGATGTAACAGATCAGGGTTGATAGCTACCCAAGCAGGCAGATCTGCCAACTCTCGATGTCTCTCGTTAGACCAGACGAGCGCCTCTCTGGGCACGCTCGATCTAGGTACATCCTTGAGTATAGCCCTGACCACGCGCGGTCTCAAGAATCCGATCTGATCGCGCGGAACGCCTTTCGACTGGCTGGCTGCCCTCGGCGGAGCAGAGAGAAGGGGCACGAGGAGCGGATCGCTCCAAGGATTTGAGTTGCAGCACCGCTCCACCACGGACCTGAGCGTGGGAAAAGGAGTTGCGGATGCGACCATTTCTTGCTGCCTTGCTCTTGCTTTCGCTCTTGCTCCTGCCCTTGCAGCGCCCTCCTGACCTCTAGCGTGCAAGAAGCCTCCAGCTCGCCTTGCCGATCCGCTCGTTCACGGCTCGATGCTCGACCCTGCAAAGCCTTGCTCTTTGCGTGCCGGCACGGATGTCAGAGTACGACAAGCGCGTCTATGTTGAACGGGTCTTGCTCTGCTCGAGCCTTTTCCGCTTGCTCGTCTCTTGTCTCAATGCGATGTGCGCGTGCGATCCAACTGTGGTCCAACGTCCCACGCCCGGCCTGAGAGTGTGATTGTGCAAGAGAAGTGTCGAGCAAGGCTCGTCATGACTGTAAATCTACTCTTCTGCAGACACGTACCACGTCTTTCTCCTAGCCATCTGCTTCTCGTCCGTGCGCGTCCTTGCTTGCTTGTGTGCTGCTTCCCATCAAAATTCTGGAGCGTTGCTTTTGTCGCAGCGTTGGTGGAGCGCACGCACAAGCCACGCGCGCACAGCAGATCTACGCACAGCACTCACTACTCCACATAGACTCGCATTTCGTACGATTTGTGATTGCGAGCTTTGGCAGCGAGGGGCGCGCGCGCGCGCGCAAGTGAGAGGGGTGTGAACGCGATTGCGAAGAGCAAGCGCGAAAGCACCCGATATCCCCATCACACGGGTCATCTCGATCGATCGGTCGAGTGAGTCGCGAGTGTGTGTCACGGACGCAAAGATGCTGACAGATGTGTCAGCAAGCGACGCTCGCTTGAAACAGTCCTAGTCAGCTTGTAGCACAGCAGGCAGCATCATACGTGTGACCACAATCACTGACGACCGCGACTTCCGGTCGTGAATGAGCCGCATAGATGCGATCCTTGGGTCTTTGGCCTATCATTGCGCAGCATCAGGACATGCGATACGACCACAGGACATCAGCCCTGTCTCACCGGGTCCATCGATAGGGTCTGTTTAGGAAGAGGAGGAGGACGAGGAAGAGAGACAGGAGGCACGTCTTACAGTGGTAGTGTAGAGGCGCTCAAATTCGAGACCGAGGAAGGGGGGAAATTGGTCTGTTCAGGCGAGACAGGTGTGGACCTCGCTCTCCCGAAATTGGATCTGGACCTCGTGTTCGTCGACGTCTCGCCTTCTAGCGCGCGTCGACGACGCCCATCGACATCAATGAACGTGAATGAACTTTGATGGTGATGTCGCGCTCCATCAAGTAATGCCGCCCCACCTCCTTGTCCTCGATTCGCGGGTAAAGTGAGCCTGCTGTCATTTAGCGGGAAGCAGCCAGTTTCTGCCGCCAGACACTCATTGACTCAGACTGAGCTAAGGAGTCGGACACGAAGCTCAGCAAGTGACCTCGTGCAAGCAGCTGCTCATCAAGTGGGCACTGGACCACCAAGAGTCGACATGCGACCTCGAAGACATTCACTAGTGGGCGGACTCTTGAAAAGCCTGCGTTGCTGAAGGTGACCAAAGTCTTCGATCTGTTCGAGATATGCAAACTCCACGAGGTCCATATGCAGGCCCCCTTTGGCTGGGTTTTTGTTGCCTACAGTATCCTGGGCTCATCGGCCGACGTGATATGAACAAGACGTGCTGGAGCAGAGCTAGCAAGTGCCCATAGCGACCTGCTGCCCTCTTCGTCGTCAAGCGCTGTGTACATGGGCGCTCAGCTTCAGCTGGCAGGTCGAGTTCAAAGGAGGCAGGCCCGGAATCGCTCATCTTCATGACCACACGTCTCGTGTCTGGATATTCGTGAGTCGTGAGTCAGAGTGTCAAGTCCTTTCTTTTGACCCGACAGTCTTGAGTTGGAGTCTGCATGCAGCCGGCAGCCATGCACGCTCCACGTGGTCTCGCTGCCGCTGCTGCTCCAGCAAGTCGAGCCCGATGAATTCGTTCACCCGAAATATGCTCGCTCTTCGTTCCTGCTCTTATTGCCGCGGCTCCACTCATCCCATCGAGACTCACGAACGCTGTGGCAGACAAGTCTAAGCGACTTGGGGACCTGATGTGTGTACAGAATACCGCACTGCTCGGCTATCGATAGCTGTGTGAGCTGCAGATCGGTTCCGCACGCTTGAGCCGAGTAAAGCAAGCTGCACTCATTCGGCGCCACAATCCAGCTAGCTGCATCCATCATGCAAGCTCCTGTATGTCCCATCGCCCGGTTACTGAAGCTTGCGTGAGCGTGACACCATTTTTCATTGCTGAGCGAGCGAATCAGGAAGCTTCCGTCGAGCCCGCTCCTGACCTTCGGAGGACAAGCACCGAATTTGACTGATGTGCTTAGATGGTTTTCCTAGTCTCTTGTGGGGGCGTAGTAGTCATGCAGTAGTGGATTGCGAAAGACAACCACTCACGCACCCGTGCAGATGTGCAGGTGCCGAAGAAGTCGGAAGCACGAGGCTGGTGCATGATGTGACGTCTGGCCCATTCGTCAACAGAGCGCGTCATGTCCGTTCAAGGCGATCGACGGGGCCATATCCATGTCTCATCGTGCAGTCCAGCCAGCTTACAGGTAGGCAGCCAGTCGATTTGCACGACTGCAGCTTATCTCTGCGAGTGTTCGTCCCATCGACAATCACGAGTGTGATGCGCCAAGAGTTGGGACGTGAGCCAGGGCAAAAAGGCATCGATCGAGCTGAGGCGCTTTTGCGCGTGTGCGCGTGTGCGCGTGTGCGTGCGTGCGTGCGCGACCCAAAAACTTTGGTCCGCGCGTTCTCCGCTCTTAGACATCGGCGTTTAGACCGATGCAGCTTGTGTTGGCGACGGCCTGCTGCCGCTGATGCGGCGCATCGGCGCAGAAGAGGGGAGTCTGAATCACGAATTGGACCGGGTGACTCTGCTGACTGCTTTCTAGCAGAGAGCAGAGGCAAGCGTGTGATCCGCATGAATCAGCGCCCCGATCTGCACGACCGCATGACGGCAACTCGCTTTTTGGCAAAGCTGACCGGACATGAGGTGCCGGTTGCTGAGACGCAGCACGCGCCCTTCATCACTCCGCTCAGAGTCAAGCTCACCATTTGCGCAGACGTCCTCTCAGAACGACTCTTTGACTTTGCTGACGCATGAAACCTTCCGGAATTGCGGTCGCAGCGTTGTCCTAGCTGCTGGCTGCAGTAAGTAGAGTGATTTTACTGCTGCATGTATGTAAGGCAAGAGTCGAGTGGATTGTCCGGTGCATGCTGCGCGGCCAAGGATTCCGATGCAGGCACACAAGAGCAGGCAGAGTGATCTGCTTCCGGATGTTGTCTCAATGGTTGGTTTGATGATGATTGGATGTATTCGGTTGTGAACAATTTTTAATACGTCTCCTCTTGACAAGCATGTAGCGAGAGCAGAGCCTGCACGATGCATGGACGAGCACATGGTCGATGCCACGCTAGACAGCATCGCGCGATAGCCAAGAGCCGTGCGCGTGTGCCTTCTCTTCTCCGATCGGTCTTTCGGTGCTTGCTCAGGTGTCAGCTCATCGCCTGGAGAGGAATGGTGGGTGTCGCCACTGTTCCATTCCCTAGGCGGACAGATCGAGGCGCGCTCCGTCAGGAGACAGCTCAGCCGCTCTTCCACTAACCGAGATCATGCATGCTGCAAAGGCATTCACGATTTTCAGCCCTCCACAAACACGTTCAGCCAGCATCTTGCAAAGTCTCACTCGAGCGGCCAGACTGATGACATGTGCACTCGACTCGATTCGATGTGCCTTGCTGTCTGGGCCCCATTTGTGCCTGACACCCTTCTCGCTCGCCTCGCGGTGCTGATGATGTGCACCTTTTCGGCAATTGAGTGAGTTGGGCAGGGCGTCGTCGCGCAGCCATTGAGCGCCCAAAAGGTGCGGCTAAAGCGCGAAAGGGTCGGTGGATCGCTGCTGTGCGCAGACATAGCATCCCTAGAAGCTCGAGGCTTGTCGCCAGCATCTAGTGCGCTGCACCACTGCCAAATCCGTCATCCTCGAATAGCATGCCACCTCGCCTTTCGTGCTTGGACTCGTGATCGTGCTGGACCCAAGCACTCACGACTGACCGTGCAGTCAAAAGTGACCATGCACTCACTACTCTGGCTGCTGCTCCATTTGACCCGCGTCGACCAATCAGGTGTGCTGCAGCAAGGCTGTCGCTGCGCCCGAACTAGCCGCTGTGCATATATTACTCGATTCTCTTGTTACCTCGGTCTCTGTATACATTGACTTTGCCCACGCGTGGGCACTCGTGACTCTAGTGCCTGATCGAGGGCGCGGAATGAAGCCTCGATCAAATTGCCTTAGCTCCGCACGCCCGCCTTGACTTTTCTCCACGCATTTGACCGCTTTCTTCGAGCCAAACAATTCAGGCATGCAGCAGCACGCGGGGGGAGGCCGGAGGACCCTGCCGCGTATTTGCAATCCCTCACCTGCTGTCCCTTGATGACTCTGGTGATGAGCGATGGACAGGTCTCAGCTGCAAGCTCATGCCTAAACCGCGTGTCCTCCGACGCTTGGCGCAATCTCCTTCTTCCTTGCTCCGAGCATGTCTGTATCCGTGCTGCTGTGTCGAGGCACCAACACGCTTGCTCCCTTCTCAACCTTTTGCGAACTTGAATCGGGTGCCGGCCGCCGAAGAACAACCACGCGGTCCGGTCTCTGATCCGTGCCATCGCTACAAGCCTACCGCCACCGTGCAACCATTCTGCTCCGAACGCCATTTCGCCACTTGATGGTGGATTGTCCAGTGGAAATTCATCGAGTGACTTCGTGCGCGCCTTTCGCCACGCAATGCGAAGTCCATAACAGCCCATGCCCCCTAAGCTGCACCCCTAGACTTCCCGCTTCAAGGCCACGCGCGTATTCCCGAACTGCTGCACGCGATTTTCGGGGCATTAGCGCCACGCCCATCGGCCAGGCTAAAATGTCAGAGGAAAAGCGGCGGCAGATGTCCTCTGCCTCGATTCTTGTCGGTGCCTTTGAATGGTCTACAGAGCAGTCGGATGAGTGTGCGGCTCTAGCCTCAAAGAGATGGATCGACTGATGAATTGAGACCCTAGCCTGAACTCGACCTTCGTGATTGACGCGGGCCGCGCTCATCGATTGCATCTTCCTCGTGGGCGCTTGCGCTGAAGCACAGCAACATTCACTCCAAGCTTGTTTCACATGCGGCCCCCCCTTTCGGTCGGCCCCTTTGCTCTCTCTTGCTCTCGACGAGGCGCAAGGGTGGCAACGGCGTGCAAGCAAGGACGACGGTCAAGGCAATGCAGGAGTGGGCTGGATATACTCTACCTGCCACTGCACAGCAGGGACATCATATGTCGCCGGCAGCCCAGCAGCAGCAGCTGTCTGCTGATCGTGCCACAAAAGTCGATCGAGGGGCTAAATTAGGGATCATCACCACATGCAGCCCATGCAGCCCCGCCAGCGTGATGGAGCAGGCGTGGGCTAAGGCACACAAAAGCAATGCAGACAATCAATCAAACGCTGCACCCATCATCGACATCAGCGCACGACGCCGCATCTGAATTTCGCCGCCCACGATGCATGGACGGCTGTCGGCCAGCTACAGCCAGCAAACTGCTCTTGGCTTACTCCGTGACTGTACCGGTGCCGCCCTTGTGCACGATTCAGCCCAGAGGCCGGCCGGCCGGCCGCCCGCTCAGCCTTCATTTTGACTGATGTTCCGCCCAAGATTGCGAAATGCAGTCGTGCAGTCCTGAGTCGCCATTCATTGAATTTCGTGATTGATCTTCTCGATTCACTTCGCGGATGTCCGAGACCCAAAACCGCGTGGTGGTTGGTGGCCAACGATCCGACTCGCGAGTAGGTAAGGCGAGACCGCAAGGGCTTTGAGTCAGAGTGCTTCTCCCTTACTGCCCAGACGAGCGGGCGGATCGAGGAGCGTGGAAAGCATGTGGTGGTCTGCTCATCAGCCGCACAGCGAGCGAGTCGCTTGGGATGATGATATGATGGCGGAAAACATGCGCCAGATCAAAATGAATGGCTGCACGCTTGCCCGCTTCCGCCTCGCACATCACACCAAAACGTCGAGAAGGGGAACGCCTGAGCGTCAGCCCTCTGAGCTCGCTGCTGCTGGCAGCAAAAGTATGGTGAGCAGCAGAGTAGCAAGGATCAACATGGGATTGCATGCGCTGACTCCCCCGTCATGCATCGCCATGCGGTGCTACGCCCAAATCTGCACGAACACACATATGCACACACACACACGCGCGCGCGCGCGCACACACACACACACACACACACACCTATCAGGCACGAACACGCCCGCACGCGCCTCTTTCTGCGCTCTTGCCTCCGGTACCGTATCTGCAACAGCCCTCCGGTCACAGCATCAGACAAGGTGGTCGGTGTGTCGGTCTGTAAGGTGTCGCCATGTGGATCGCCCCGTCGTTTGCTTCTTTAGCTTCATGTGTTCGCTCGAGATGCTTTGCCTCTGACCAGACACTGACTGACCCTTCGCTCCCTAGCTGCTCGCCCTCTCACACTAGAAGAGCAAAAAGCAAGCTCGATCGCGTGCGCGCGCGCAAGTCCTGCACCTCGACTCACGACTCAAGAGTCGACCTTCCCGATCCATCTCGTCGTCCGCGTGCCTCGCCTATTTGGCTCCATCGCACATCCTCTACCGTTAGTCGTATCTGAAGCTGTGCTGGACACCTTTCATGCGCTGTCGCTTCTGATTCTTCAACGCATACACATCCGCCGGCATTTCGCAACGCAGCGCGCTTCGCCCTGAGAGCTCTGCTGGAGGGAGTCGAACCTTGCGGGTCCGATCCATCAAAGAACCTTTGCGCCACCAGTCTTCTGTCCTGCCATTGTGCTCCCACCTTTCCTGCAAAATCTGCTCCGGCCGAGTGGGTCGCAGATCATACTTTCGCCCGGGCGCTGACTTCAAAAGCAAGCCATCTGCTCTCTGCTTTACCACATCACCATCCCATCTGCTCTCGGTCTCAACGTTCCGTGAAGCGCATGCAAGCTGTCGCAGCAATAGCAAGTTCTTCTCAACGCAAGAACTAGTCAGCTCTACGGTAGGTGCGATCCCGCTCGAGCATTGAAAGCTAGCTTTTACACTCGATGGAGCACCACTTCGCTAGGACAGAGCAGAAGCGTGAGCTCGATCCGCGGCCACATAGTCGCAGCGAGCATCAGCGGCTTGGTCCACCGCCGAGTCATTCCAGCATGATCCTGCCGAATGCGATCAGGCAGACTAGCGAGCGTACTGCCTCGCACCAAGCCCAGCGCATACCTACAGACTTTCCTCCAAGAATGGACGATCGCCGTCGCGATTCCCGTCATCCCATGGACGTCGATCAAGAACACCGTCGAGAAAATCCTCAAGCAGTGCCCTTCGCCCCTCATCAGGCTCATCCCGCCCGAGCTGCCAGCGTTTCGGGCATGTCACAACCTCTTCAATATCAGGGTATGTGGGGTGCGCGGCGATCCTCGAGCGAATCTGAAAGGATCAATTCCAGACTACCGCCAGCTCGACGCAACAGTCGTGCTGCGGAGCTGCCTCGCGCGCTCGTGGACGCTGCACCAGGCACGCATGCAAGCGTGCCCCGACGACCGTCTGATGGCGAATCGCGCCACGCTGCGTATCCAGGCCCACCTCCTGTGCATGGACAACGCACGTTGGCATACTGCGCGCAGGAACGATTCGCGCCGCGATCCCCGCCACCTCGATCTGAAATGGCTCCGCCGTCCCGGGCCAGCGGCTCGCCCTCCACGGCTCAGCTGCGGCGTCTCAGGACCGTCAGCGGCGATGGGTCCTCGCTCTCTGCGTCAGGTCTGCCAGCTTCGGCAGCGACCGTCCCTCGCGAAGCTGCGTGGGCCTACCATCGTAAGCTTAGTGCTCCCGGAGATACTCGTCAGCCCTTCCCGCCTCGCCGCTCCGTAGACGATGTGGATGCGGCGCAGCGCACCGCTCAACGTGCTCGGACGCAGCACGTCGGGGCCTCTCCAGCCGGTGCAGACTCTAAGCGTCACATTTTGCCACCGTTGCCACCCGACTTGATTGCTGGTAACGCCGCCTCCACTACGAGATCCACTTTGCCACCTCTTCGGCCGCCGCCCGGCTTTCATGCGCACTCCTACCACGTATCCGAGCCACACGCCCGTGCGACGCAGCCACCGGGTCCTGGCATGAAGATACGCAGACCTTTGACGGCTGAAGATCTCAACCACGGTCCGCCTGGTCCGTCGGCAACACGTTCAGCCCCCGCGCTGGCTGCACCAGCACTACCTGCGCATCGTCGCAGCCCCTCCAGCGCGTCCGCCCCGCTCTCGCAGCAAGTCGCCGAACGAGCTGGCCACCGGCTGCCTAGCGGAACGTCTGCAAGCCTCAACATGCACGAGCAAAGTTTCCCGTCGTACACGTACGATCACGAAATGGAAGACGTGTATGGCGATGACGTCGGTCAACCGACCCCTTCAGCTTCTGCCGGACCGTCTCGACCTAACTTGCAGCACATCGTTGATGTGAGGAGGCGAGGCGGCACGTCTGCTCAGCAGACGCGCCGAATGAACCACCTCATCAGCGAGCAGCGTCGTCGTGAGAGTATCAATGCGGGCTTTGAGGAGCTCCGAAAGGTATTGCCCAACTGCCGCGAAGGCGGTGAGAGCAAGGCCACGATCCTGCGCCGTGCCATCGATGTAAGTGTCGCACGGTGACCACGTCTGTGATGATACGGCCACAAAGCTGACTATGGGCGCATCAACTGCAGCACATTGGCAATCTCCATGAGCTGGTGCACCGCCAGCAGCTCGCCCACCGCGAGCAAACAACGCGAGGGGAAGGCCCGGGATCGCGTTCCAGATCGCCTTCGGATCCGCCACGCGGACCAGGGCGGCACGAGCGCGTGGGATCGCAGCCTTCCAATGCCAGCGGCAGTCAAGCCAGCATGAGCAACGCCGGACCTTCTGCGAACGTCTTGTCGATCCACACCAACATGCATTCCGGCCCTATAGTGCGCGGACCGTCTGATTGCTCGGTTGAAGCTTCGCCGGCCGACACTGTGACCACAGCGTACACGCCCCTCGGCAGCAGCCAAATGACGAGCACGAGCAGCACGGCTAGCAGCTTGCCGTGGTCCACCAACGCCTCGCCCATCATGCCGAAACTCCAATGCTTGACCATGCGCTCCGCATCTCGCGGCGTGACGGACCCATCGCCGTTAAGTGCTGGTAATGCGCCGCATCGCTTCTTTGCTCCCTCGCCTAGGTCTTCTTTGGCTCCGCTGAACGTCGGCGGAGGGGTTGCTGCTCAAAGGAGGTCGCCTCTGATCCAACGGAACACTGCTCTACCGGAGCTGCGATCTGACCAAGGACAGAGGCTTGCGGGAGATGCTACTTCGACGCATAGGAAAGGCTTCGCCGCACCGAAGGAAGAAGACGGCTCTCTAGAGGGTAAGCCGCACGCGCTTAGCGAGTCCGACTTGCATGAGCGACACACATGCTCCGAGCTGAGAGTCGAGCACGGAGAAGAGCAGGCAAACGGGGATGCTGGCTCGAGCGACAGTAGCTGGATCTCCGTCTCCCCGGTCGAGGTTGAGGTGAAGCTGGACCGATCTGAACGGAAACGCCCAGCGCCTTTGAGCGCAGATGCGAGACGCTCGAGCGATTGGGAGGCTCATGCCCACCCGTCAAAGCGCAGACACAAATTTGGACACGCAGGCTCGCCTGCCGCCAGTTCCTTGCCAAACACTCCCACTTCGGCCACCTTCGTGCCTAGGTCCATGGTGCAGGTCTGAGAAGGCTTGCTTGCTGGCCAGCAACTTTCTTCCAAAATCGCGCCGCACGCACCCCGTTCTTCCATATCGTTGTAGCTCGGATATGATGCTGCTTGATGCATCGTCACACTAGCACCGCCTTTGCGCTCCGGACTCTCTCTTTCTGCCTCTTATCGCTCCTGCATCAGATCGTCTCTTTAATGCCTAGTCCTGAATGTCTTTTCGTCTCTTGTTGTTGCGAGTCGTGCCGATCATACACGGTCATTGGCTTGCGCGAGATGCTCTTTCCTCCTCACTGGTGCTCGAAAGTCGAACTTTGATTGCCTTGAGTGTTGTTGCACCTCCGATCCGTCAGCACGCTCCGGCGATGGCTTGACGATTTGTAGTGTTGTCCATGCTGACTCTCGGAAGGTGTCGAAAGCTGCTTTCGCCCCGGGCGCTGCGCTCTGGAGGTCGCTCCAGCGTTCCGCTTGCCCGCGTGCCATTGCGCCGCGATTCGTCGTGATGGTCATCTTGGCTCGAGCAGCAGTCATGAGCGAGACGTGTGTCGGCTTGAAGTCAGGCGTAGATATCCCACTCAGCAGACAAGACCGATTCCAATTGGGAACTCAAGACTCCCGAGTCCGGGGAGGATGCGTGGTCACGTCACGTGACAGGCCACACACGCACATCCCTTAGCGGTCAGGTTTTTCCCTTCTTTTGGCAGGTCTGTCTCAGGGTTGGGTTTAAGAAGACTTGTCAAGCTTGAACGACCTCGCACTCTGGAAGTAGAGCACTTGCAAGTTTGGAAGAGTGCCAGCACCCGCCGCTGGTCTCGCCAGCGCAGAATGTTCGGACGAAGGCTCGTTCGTTACGAAGTGATCATGTACGTACATAGAGAGACTCGGCGTGACTGGACGCTTCAACATTCACGATTGCATGGCTGATTTTTGGATTTTGATTCGACCGCCTCCACATTCATCAGACTACTTGCTCCCACTCGCGAGTCCCGCTAGCGTTCCCGAAGGGTGCCCCGCTTGCAAAGGGGGAGCCAGCCAGCCCCAATTCCCGCATCCTCTTTCGCATCAAGCTCGGAGTGAGGGGGTCGATGTGAGCTCGCGCGGCAAAGTGGTGCTGTGAAGCTCAGGCGAATGGAAAGTGCTTGGACTGATGAAGCGATCGCACGAGAAGCGGATATTGCGGCGGGGCGCAGAATCAGAAGGCGAGCAGAGCGGATTCTCGAAAGGCCGAACAGAGCGTACCCGCATCCCTGTCCCTTGCCTCCTCTTGGTGGGTGTCTGGCGTAAGGTTGTTTGCAGCGGGTAACCGACTGTTCGCCATTGGAACAAGCTTTCAGTTACTCGAGCGCGTCATGTCTGTGGGGAGACTGTGTGCAGCAGAGGGCGCATGACTGACGTCTGCCTGCGCCGAGTGTGAAGAAGCAGGAGCAACAGCTTTGGTGGTGACGGCCCTGGGACGCGCGTGAGACCAGCCAGCAGGCCTTGACTTGCAGGTGATCAGAGACTGCCTGCCATCCGCAAGCGCAGCCGTCCGTACCTCGCGCTCTCGACGAGGCACTGGCTAGCACGCAAGGCGGAAGGAGAGATCCAGCTAGAAGTGTCGTCAATGCAAAAGCCGTGTGTATCGGTGCGTTTTGTGAAAAAAAGGGAAAGGGGGGGG